TATCTAGGCATGATCATGTATATAGGCATCACGTTCGAGACAAGTAGACCGACTCCTACCTCCATCTACTACTATTACTCCACACATCGACCGCTATCCAGCATGCATCTAGAGTATTAAGTTCATAAGAACAGAGTAACGCCTTAAGTAAGATGACATGATGTAGAGGGATAAACTCATGCAATATGATATTAACCCCATCTTTTTATCCTCGATGGCAACAATACAATACGTGTCGCTTCCCCTACTATCACTGGGATCGAGCACCGCAAGATTGAGCCCAAAGCTAAGCACTTCTCCCATTGCAAGAAAGATCAATCTAGTAGGCCAAACCAAATTGATAATTCGAAGAGACTTGCAAAGATAAACCAATCATACATAAAAGAATTCAGAGAAGAATCAAATATTGTTCATAGATAATCTGGATCATAAACCCACAATTCATCGGATCTCGACAAACACACCACAAAACAAGATTGCATCGAATAGATCTCTAAGAGAATCAAGGAGAATTTTGTATTGAGATCCAAAGAGAGAGAAGAAGCCATCTAGCTACTAGCTATGGACCCGAAGGTCTGAAGTAAACTACTCACACATCACCGGAGAGGCCATGGAGTTGATGTAGAGGCCCTCCGTGATCAATGCCCCCTCCGACAGAGCTCCGAAAAAGGCCCCAAGATGGGATCTCTTGGGTACAGAACGTTGCGGCGGTGGAATTAGGTTTTCGTGGTGCTCCTGGATGTTTGCGGGGTACGTGGACTTATATAGGAGGAAGAAGTAGGCCGGTGGAGCAACGAGGGGCCCACGAGGGTGGAGGGCGCGCCCAGGGGGTAGGCGCACCCCCCTGCCTCGTGGCCTCATCGATTGTTTCTTGACGCCCACTCCAAGTTTCCTGGATCACGTTTGTTGAAAAAATCACGTTCCCGAAGGTTTCATTTCGTTTGGACTTCATTTGATATTCCTTTTCTGCGAAACACTGAAACAGGCAAAAACAATAATTTGGGCTGGGCCTCCAATTAATAGGTTAGTCCCAAAAATGATATAAATGTGTAAAATAAAGCTCATTAACATCCAAAATAGATAATATAATAGCATGGAGCAATCAAAAATTATAGATACATTGGAGACGTATCATTAAGCGTGCGGACCCTACGGGTTCAAGAACTATGTAGACATGACCGAGACATATCTCCGGTCAATAACCAATAGTAGAACCTGGATGCTCATATTGGTTCCTACATATTCTATGAAGATCTTTATCGGTCAAACCGCATAACAACATACGTTGTTCCCTTTGTCATCGGTATGTTACTTGCCCGAGATTCGATCGTCGGTATCATCATACCTAGTTAAATCTCGTCACCGGCAAGTCTCTTTACTCGTTCCATAATGCATCATCCCGTGACTAACTCATTAGTCACATTGCTTGCAAGGCTCATAGTGATTTGCATTACTGAGAGGGCCCAGAGATACCTCTCCGATACACGGAGTGACAAATCCTAATCTCGATCTATGCCAACTCAACAAACACCATTGGAGACATTTGTAGAGCATCTTTATAATCACCCAGTTACGTTGGGACGTTTGATAGCACACAAGGTGTTCCTCCGGTATTCGGGAGTTGCATAATCTCATAGTCTGAGGAACATGTATAAGTCATGAAGAAAGCAATAGCAGAAAAACTAAATGATCATTATGCTAAGCTAACGGATGGGTCTTGTCCATCACATCATTCTCTAATGATGTGACCCCGTTCACCAAATGACAACACATGTCTATGGCTAGGAAACTTAACCATCTCTGATTAACGAGCTAGTTAAGTAGAGGCATACTAGGGACACTCTATTTGTCTATGTATCCACACATGTACTAAGTTTCTGGTTAATAAAATTCTAGCATGAATAATAAATATTTATCATGATATAAGCAAATATAAATAACAACTTTATTATTGCCTCTAGGGCATATTTCATTTACCAACGCCGTTGACATCGATGAAGCCTCTATCGCCGCATTCGACTACAATGAAACGTAGGGCGGTGTGGATGATCATGGTTGTGAGGAAGAATTGGAGGAGATCGAAGCGGAAGTGTATGAGCAATCGCAAACAAAAACTGGGAAAAGCCAGAGACCGAAGAATTACACAATCTTGGAAGATCAAGTTCTGATCAATGCATGGAGTGCGGTGTCTCTTGATGCATGCACGGGTACTTCTCAAACCGCCAAGAGGTATTGGCAAAGGATCGAAGATCAATACTTCCGCATGATGGCAAAGTACCCCTATAGGACTCCACGCACATTTTGGTCGCTTCAAGGGCGTTGGAAGGTGATCAAGCCTATGTGCAGCCGTTGGGCAGCTTGCTTGGAGCAAGTACACAATGCACCTCCAAGTGGAACCGTGGAATCCGACTATGTGAGTTTGTTTTGCCTTTGTTCAAGTTGTGCATCATATGAAATGATTGCATCATTTCACTTTGTTCACATTGTGTAGGACAAAATTGCCCAACATAGATACAAAGACATGGAAGCTTCAGAAGGCAAATTCTTCAAACTAAAGCATTGTTGGGACTTGCTCAAAAAGTGCGAGAAGTGGAAGTTGATCAAAAAAGAATCCCCACCGAAGAGAGGTTCACTTACAAACATGGATGGAGATGAGGATGATGATGGCCCAAGAAATTTGAACAAGCCCGATGGCGACAAGAACACTACGGAGAAGATGAAGAGAGAGCACGAAGCATCGAGCTTGAAGGGGAAGATTGATGCCATGGTGCAATCAAATGAGTTGATATTGTTGAAGTCGTTGGAGATTAAGAAAGAGTTGGCCGAGAAGAAGTCAAAGGAGAAGTAAGAAAAGTGGCAATTGCTCAAGAAAGAGGGGCTACGCAAAGCGGCCATTGAGGAGAGAAGAGCACGTGCCGCTGAAAACAAAGTCATGTCCAAGTTGATCGCCGAAGAGAACAAGATTATGACAATGAACCGCAATGACATGGACGACCTCACCAAAGAATGGCATGATATAGCAAGGAGAGAAATCTTGAAAAGGAGAATAGTTGCGTCGTCCAGTGCGTGTTACAGTGTCGGAGATGTTTTCTCTGCTCCATATGGTGGCAATGTCGATGATTTCGGTGCGGGGGTTGGAACAAGCGCCGGAGGTGGATTCGGTGGTGGCGATGAACTTCAAGATGGATTCGATGGCACGGAGTGAAGATCGACCAAGATGATGCCGGGCGTGGTCGTCACTTTTGCAAGACCCTCTTTTGTGTTTGTCCTACTAAACTGAAGTTTTTATGTGCGCGTAAACTGTGTTATGTTGTTTGAATTTGAACTTGTTTGTGGGAACCTATGTCAAATTTGAGAATTGGGCGTTTTCTATTTGCGGGTCGACGCGGCGGTGCCCGAGCAGACCCCGCAAAAAGCCGACCCATAAATAATATATTCCGCGAATATCCTTTTATACGGGTCTGTTTAGGGGTTTGCATCTGCGGCCGTTCGAGCTAGCCCGCAAAGGCCGTTTTCCATGAACTGCAAATGCGTTTTGCGGGCCGGCCGGATGCGGGGTCTGCTAGAGATGCTCTTACATCTATATTTCTCTCAAAAAAGTCAAATCTCAAAAGGTTGACCAAGTTTTTAGAGTAATAGATTTACATCTATAACGTCAAGCATATATCATTACATTCATTGTAAGTAGTTTCATATTCTATATTTTTGATATTGTAGATAGAAATAATTTTTTCAATAAACTTGGTCAAGGTTCCCATTTTTTAAAAAACCTGTAACTTCATTGATCATAACAATTACAAATACATTGATTTGGACTTAAAATTCAAAAAAATGCAAAGTAACTCCTATGACCTTCTTCATGGTAGCAATCTCTGCTCAAAGAAATACTCCAAAGACTTCAGTAAAAAGGCTACAATTAAACTGAAGCACCGACGTTGTCACTCTTTCACGTGCACTAACATTAACAATAATGATTTTTGAAAGCGCCTTGAGTCGTCCATCTAAACAGATGGGGAACCTTGATAATGAACGTACTTGGGCCGACGATGATTCCGTATAAGTGCAGGCCGTCGAGTCACTATATCTCCACATGATGTTGATGAAAAATTTCACCTCCACCAAGAATCAAGTAACAAAAAAGCTTGGCACGACAACATAAACTCGTCAGATCCGAATAATTGAATCTGCAAGGACATAAAATTCTCTAACCTCATGGCACTGCCAAAAGAACAGAATTGTTTTTCTCACAGAACTATGATGATCACTAGGCATTACAAAAAACATAGAGATTTCCAAGGTCCCCCACCACTCAGCGCCAAGATGGCAGTCGGAGACGAGGAGGCCAAAATTTCTCAGATGGCGGCGAGAGAAACCCTAGCTAGCCAAGGGAGGAATTGACATATCCTGGTCAAGGTTTCCAAATTTGACGTTTCAAGAAATCTACACACTATATTATGAAACTAAGGTAGTAATAATTAAGAAAAGAAGATAAGCCTCTTTTTTCTCTTTCCACCACCTTAGCATTTACCATATTGTTTTTTTTTCTCTGGTGTAATATCTTAAGTCAGTATATCAGATTAAGAGTACAGCTTCTGGAAAATACATTCACAGCGAAAAAGATCTATTAACAAAAAATAATAATATCAAATGCAGGAAATCGATGCAAAAATCTAATCCTCAATAGTCTAGGAGGAACAGGAAGAAACAAAGAATGGAACAAGGATGATGGTGCACACTACGTTTACCAGCATAGACTGAAATTATTCTCAACTCTCAAGATATAAATTAGCTACATGGATCATTCTATTTACAAAATTTACAGCATCAGCTACCATGTCGGGTTCATCAGCCATCACCGCAATCTACAGCATCACCATGTCAAATGCTTGCTTGCTCTGACAGGAAAACCCGAGTTATTATCCTCAGCACAGAGACAACCAGCAGGCCGAGCCATCACTGACATCAGACCAACACACAAGGAGCTATACATTGGGGTCATGTCAGAACGCCGTGCACAGGTTGCTCTTCAAGTTTGAGGAGCACTCCTGCTGTATGGGAATGCCGGGGCTGCAAAGCCGGGTCCTTTTCGGCTCCGATATTCTAACATGTGTTATTGCCGCTGTCAGTGCGTCGACTATGCCACATTCATCCTGGTCCTCCGACCTCTGGCTCGACGAATCTGAAGCTGACGACTCACAATGTGATCTAATTCTGTCCCATGGAATTTTGGGTGCTACAATCTTGTTAGTGACATCAGGAGTTACAGCCTTCAGGGTACATTCCGTGTAGAACAACACCCATGGATGACCTGAAACAGTATCATCACAAAATTAATTAAAACCTTATAAAATATAAACATAAAGTTATGCTGGATGAGAAATTGCCTGGACTTACAAAGAACTTGATCAGCAGTTATTCTAGAAGAGACATCTCGATCCAACATTCGACTTATAAGATCCCGTCCAATAACTGACATTGATTCCCATGGACCGCTGTTGAAATCAAGCTCAACTGTCTTTATAGCTTCAAAGACAGCTTCCAGAGAGCCTCCTTGAAATGGAAGTGAACCAAGCAGTAGTACATGGAGGAGCACCCCAGCACCCCATATGTCTACTTTCTCAGAATAGCTTCCTGACAACACCTCAGGCGCCACATAGGCTGGGCTCCCAGCAACGCCAGACAATTTCTGACCTGTTTAGTGGTGACCAAAAACATCAGCTACTTCTAGTAAACACACATTTATACATCTGATTGTCCAAGTAAAACCCTAGAAAGATGATTTGGGGCTATTCAGGAACCAAGTAAAGTCAATCGTACAAACATAACAGACTAAACAAAATAGCATCAGAGCTCTAAACATCTGCATCCCTTAGCACAAAATTAGGTGATACTGGATTCTTAGAACTTCGATGCATAAGGTAAAATATCATACAGTAACATTATTGTTGCCACTTATCATCATTTGCTATGTTTAGAGCAGTGCAGCATTAGATAATCTGTTCGTCACTCAATGTTCATGCGGCTAAATTCCTCTCATTCTGCTCCACCTCAGCACCATGGGATGTATGTGTTTTAGCCTAGGGCAGTGTCAGTGAAGTTTAAGACAACACATGCATCACTCTAGCATGACAGAAGACTCTTGAACTTAATCGGTAAGTGTCTAATAAGAAGTACCAAGGCTGGCTTACTGCATTGCATTAGACATTAGAGTGATAACTGATAACTAGAGTTGGAACAGAGGATAGACATGGGTAACAATAGATAAATACTGCAGAATTACTATAATCTAAATATTACCTTACAAAATATAAGCAGCTGTTTATAAGAACCAGTGCCCCTGAAGCCATGCTGACAACTCCAACTCATAGACTATATGACTCCATTCAGACAGAAATCACACCACTTCCTAATTCATCAAAATGACTCAAGACCATATTCAAAACATTACACAGCCAGTTTGGTATGCTCAAGAAGACTATTCTGGCCCTCAGACTCATCACAACAGGTACTTGCAGGAGCATGCCATAAATTAATATCAATACAAGGATTAAATTGATCAGTGTAGATTCTTAACATCCAAATTCCACGCAAATAAGAAAAATTAGTATCAGCGCCACCACAAGTAGAATGGAACCAACTATCAATTAGCGCAATGCCTCAATTACCTTGGATATCTAGCAAGAACTTACCAATGAAGGCACCACATGCTACCAATTCATGACTAAAAACACCTTTTAACATATTAATTGGTACGACACAGAACATTTCTTCATTTGCAATACCATGCAAAACACTGAATCGGCATGCAGAAATCATCATTTAAACAAGAATCTGAGCTAAACATTCACCACTTCCAGCTCCGCAAGGACTTAAGAAATGAGAGCGCCTAACTCTTGATGCAGAACTGGTCCCATCTTATTAGTTACACAACCATCATAACCAAGTGGCCCAATTCAATGAATACAATCAGTACCGATTGTGTAAGTATGAAACATGAAACTGTCTGAAATGCTCAGTACTTTAAGAGTGCTATATTGGGCCTCAGACTATACATATAAATACTTGCAGATGAATGCACTAAGAGATACCAGATGGGCGCTCGACTTTGACACTCCATTCAAATCCCCAATTCTCTAAGCATATCGGGCAAGAGGAGCATACACATGAATACATTTCCTACCAACTCATGACTCACAAATTGGATGCTATCCAACCGACTTGTACAGAAGTTTAGAAGACATTAGATTAGATGATATGCATGGTCACAAATATGAGCAACCTGCAAAAATGCTGTGAAGTGATTGAAACCTGAAACCCGCAGTAATTCGGTTAACATGGCAAATTACTCGTATCACAGATCAACTATGTACAACCATGAATTCTAAATGCCATGACATCATACTAATAATTATTAAATATTATAGAACATTGTATGGTCCAATGTCGGACTTCCAGTCGATCTTCTACTACTTGTAATTGATATCTTTTTGCCATATAAAGCGAATCAAAATTGCAACTTGTGTAAACATAGAGTACCCCCAGGAACACAACAAATTATTTATCATCTAGTAGAGCTTCAACGTGAAATATTAGCAAGAATTTACCGTTAGTAACTCGTGCTGCCAATCCAAAATCAGCTAGTTTCATCTTGCCAGTCTTGGTGAGCAAAATATTCTCCGGCTTAATGTCCCTGTGGATGACGCCCATTTCGTGGCAGTACTTGACGACCGACATTAGATCCTTGATGACAAGGGCGGCCCGCTGCTCGGAGAAGGTGCCGTCCCTGGCCATCTCGTCGAGCAAGCGGCCGCCGCTGCAGAGCTCCATGACGAGGTAGAACTTGTCGGCGTCCTCGAAGACGGCCTTGAGCGTGACGACGCCGGGGTGGCCGGAGAGGTGCTGCATGATCTCGACCTCGCGGTGGACCGTCTCCTCGCCGTTCTTGGGGAGCGCCTTGCAGGCGAACTCCTCGCCGCCGGCCTTGGCGCGGCAGATCCGGACGGAGCCGAACTTGCCCTGGCCGATCTCGTCGCCGAGCTCGTACTCGGCCTCGAGGCGCTTCTTGCGGCCTATGCGCGTGGCGGACTCGATGCAGCCGACCTTGCGCTTGAGCCCCCGGCCGGGGCTGCCCGGGGTGGCCCGGCCGCTGGCCGGCGGCGCCGTCATGACCACGCCGCCCCGGCCGGAGGCGGTGGCGGCGTCGTCGGAGGGCTTCTTTTTCTTCTTGTCGGGGCGCGGCTTCCGCTCCCGGCAGGTGCGCTTGCGGTCCGCGGAGGCGTCGTGGAGGGAGCCGGCGAGGGAGCGCGCGCCCTTGCGCTTCCGCGGCAGCGACTCCATCGGGGGGGCGGGGAGTGG